GGCTGCAGGGCTAAGAGTCCCCTGGGAATGGATAGGTTGGGGAGTCTCTGCTGATTTAAGGGTGCTCAGATCCACGTTTTGCAGACACCCAGTAAAGCCCCAGGCCTGCACCCTCTCCCAGCACCACCACCAGCCCCACCAGTGAAGCACAACCATGGCCAAGCCCTCCCTGAGCAGTCCCCAGACCAAACAGGGGTCCTGGCAGATGCTCCCCTGCCTGTGAACATCTATCCAGAGCCCTTGGAGCACATCCCCAGCCCCACATTGTGGACCCTCCCTTGGGGGCCACTCTGAACCACTCCTGCCTAGACCCACATCTGGCCCAGGACAAGCCTTCTGCAAACACCTCAAGCTGTTGTCAAGCAGCAAATAAAGGCATGGTGGTGGTTTTCTACACAGCCAGTGTGTGTTTTTGTCCTGCTCTGACACTCACCTTGCCACAACAGCCACAGCCAACACCCCTTGGGTCATCTTGGCTTTGAGAAGATGGGGCAAATCCAGCCCAGTCATTCAGTGAAGGGGACGCAGAAGGGGTGGCTCTGCCATTGGGGCAAAGTGAAGAGGATCCAAAGGTCTTTCTACTGCAGGTATTTGGCTTCCCCTTCTTGAGACCCTCACAACCCTGTCCCCTAAGAGAAGACGAGGAGAGCACAGCCCTGCACACCAGGGCACCAGCCTCAGGTATCACCAGCTCATCCTCCCTCCCTGCCACACCAACCACCACCAAAACCACCGCAACACCCAGAAGTGCTGCATCCCATGCATAAGAAGAGAGAAGAGGCCTCTGTATCTCATTAAATACAGGTAGAAATTTATTAAGGAAGGGAAAAAACCCACAGCTGTTAAAAAAAAATATCAAAAAGAGACAAGTGAGGTGAAGTGTCTGTCTTTTGGCTGGAGCAGCAACGTGAGGGAGGGAGGGAGTGGGGGTGAAAATGGCCCACGGAGGAGGAAAGGATGCAGGGAGGGATGGAGGTGCCACATTGCTCCCAGGCTCATCCCGGGAGCAGTTGTGGACAGAGGGAGCTGAGCTCCCAGCCCTTGAATACTCATCCCAGGACATCCCAGCTGGGGGATTCCCACCTTCCCCCATTTAACAGTGCTGAGACCCACCAGCACTAAAGCAACACACACCAGGGGAGAGAGAACCTGGGTCCAAACCAGCCCAGAGGGGTCACCAGCCCCAGGAAGGACCTGCCTTCACACCGGGGCCAGTGGCAGGGACAAGGAGATGCTTGGGAGCAGCAGCCAGGGCTTGGCCAGGCAGGAAAGGAAGATGGCAACTGCCCCATCCTGCACTTCCATCTGTTCAGCACTGTTCAAGGTGGGGAGGGCTCCTGGGTCTCTATGCTTTGAAGAAGGAAAGGGGTAACAATAGGGACTGGAGGCAGCAGCGGAAGGTGGGAGCATAGACAGCTTCCTGAGGGGTCTCTGGCCTTCAGGAGCAGCCACACAAGCACCCAGGGTGTTTTCCTCCATGCTTACCTCCTGGCATGGCACTATGAACACAGCATGTGCAGCCTCTCTGCTTCCAAAAAGGGAATTTCACCAAAATGAGGGGAAAAGAAGCCCCCCTGCCCCAAGTCCTGCCTCTCCATCCAGCCCAGTGAGGAAGCACATCTCCTTCTGTTGCCTCAGGGGAACAGGAGATATGAGAGCAGGACTGAAAAATACCTTCAAAAGCCAGCTCTGAACACCTCAGAGCCACAGCACAGACCCCAGGGAGCCTGAAGTGGGGAAACCCTGGGCATAAAGAGCTGCAGGTAGATACCAGTGCCCCTACAAAAAAGGGGGTCCTGTTCACAGTATAAGCTGCAGCACCCAGGGCACCAAGGTGGGTCAGGACTGGGGCAGGCAGAACACCCTAGCAACATTCCCCCCAGGGCTGGGAGCCCTGGATGCACCAAAATCCCACTTCCCTTGAGCCTTTCCCCACACAGGCAGCAGTCGGGGTCAGGCCCCAAACCAGTTTTTGCTTTCCAGCCCCAAAGGGGTGCAGGGCTGGCTCCAGCCCCCCTCCCCACTGCACCCCCAGTGTTTAACAGGGGTGAGCCCAAGGATGAGCCATGGTCAGGGCTCATCCTGAAGCATCTCCAGCAGGCTGGTGAGGACCCCTCCATGAGCAGCATCACCAGTGGTGCCTCTCCCAGCACCATCCCCACCAGTGTTCAGTGCAGGACCTGCTCCAGCTCATACTTCTCACAGAACTTGCTGGTGAAGGGCAGGCAGGTGAGATATTCCACCCAGCGCCAGTTCACCGGGTACACATAGAGCCACACCACCAGTGAGGCAAAGAGCCCCACAAACACCACCAAGGAGACGATGATCATGGCTCGCTTACGGTACTTGTCCACCGTGCCAAAGGTGATGTAAGGCAGGAAGGCAAAGGAGAGGAGGAGGCCACTGAGGAAGCCAAAGAGGTGAGCGATGTTGTCAATCCATGGCAAGAGACCGCAGACAAAGAGGAAGAGGACGATGCCGAAGAGGTTGAGGAAGGCTTTCCAGGGTTTCTCCAGCACTTGCCAGCTCTGGAAGAGCTCCACAAAGAGGCAGGCCAGCAAGCCAAACTGGGAGCCAGCAGGGCCCACCTGCAGGGATGGGGAAGTCATGACTGATCCTGCACACATCACCCTAGACACATCCCTGTGTCCGCAGGGACCACAGAATCCCAGACTGGTTTGGGTTGGAAGGGACCTTAAAGCTCATCCAGTTCCAACCCCCTGCCACAGGCAGGGACACCCTCCACTAGAGCAGGTTGCTCCAAGCCCCTGTGTCCAACCTGGCCTTGAACACTGCCAGGGATGGGGTAGCCACAGTTTCTCTGGGCACCCTGTGCCAGCGCCTCAGCACCCTCACAGGGAAGAGCTTCTGCCTTATATCCAACCCAAATCTCCCCTGTTTCAGTTTGAACACATCACTCCCTGTCCTATAGCTACAGTCCCTGATGAACAGTCCCCCTCCAGCACCCTTGTAGGCCCCTTCAGACACTGGAAGGCTCATTTCTTCCCCTTGCAAAACACATTTGGCTCTTGCATCCCTCCTGGGGCTGTATTCACACCGGTGCAGGGCTCAGGGGTGGGAGCAGGGGAGGAATAGGAGTGAGGACAGTGGTGCTTTCCATGACTCAGCAGCATCACCCCCTCCCCAGGCACAGCCCCCCCAGCCCTGTCCTGACGCACCCAGGGGGGATTAGGGTGCTTGGTGTGATCTTGTTTAAAGCTAGCAGGGTTTGGTGCCAGCAGATTATCCATCTGCCTCTGCCCAGGGACCCTGCACACACAGTGACACGTGGCAATGCGTGACCCACACATATGCGAACTTCACGTGTAGAGCAGGGACCCTCCCTCCCCTTGCCATGGGGACAGCAAAACCTGACAGGGGATGAGAGCTCTGTGCTGCAGCCCTCTCCACAAACCTCTGCCAGGACAATCTGGGGACAGGTGTCCTTTGGGCCCTTGGGAGCCGGCTGGTTTGGGGTGATGTGTGAAAGGCCCCCCCATCCCCAACCTCACCTCTGCCCTGTATGGCAGGAAGATGGCACTGGCCAGGTTGCCCGTGATGCCGCTGAGGATGAAGATGAGGGAGATGCGGTGCCAGCCTGCCAGCTTCTCCAGGTCCCTCAGCACTGTCATCTGGAAAGTCACCGACACCAGGCAGTGGATGATGCTGGGGAGAGAGACCCTGTGTTAGAGACCCCCAGTTCTGCCATTGCCCCTGTCCAGCCCTCCCACCCGCTGTCCCGGGCCATGAGACAGCTGACAAAGCACCCTCCAATGACAACACGTGTTGTAGTCTGGGATGTTCTCTCCTCTTCTCTCCCAAGCCATTAGGGATCACAGACACAGAATTCCAGGCTGGTTTGTGTTGGAAGGGACCTTAAAGCTCATCCAGTTCCAACCCCTGCCATGGGCAGGGACACCTTCCACTAGAGCAGGTTGCTCCAAGCCCCTGTGTCCAACCTGGCCTTGAACACTGCCAGGGATGGGGCAGCCACAGCTTCTCTGGGCACCCTGTGCCAGCACCTCAGCACCCTCACAGGGAAGAGCTTCTGCCTAAGATCTCATCTCAGTCTCCCCTCTGGCAGGTTAAAGCCATTGCCCTTGTCCTGCCCCTTCAGGCCCTTGTCCAAAGCCCCTCTCCAGGTTTCTTGTAGCCCTTCTAGGTTTCATCCCAATGGATACTCTGGTCCCCAGGTCCCCATCCCCTGGGACACAGGGGGCTGCACTCACCCAGCATGCAGGAACAGGGACAGCCACAGGCGGTAGAACTGGTCAGGGACCTCCGGGTTGAGGAAGGGCAGGAGGCCGCAGACCTCATCCAGGCAGTGCACCTGCAAAGGCAGGAGGGGTCAGGGGTGATGGGGGCTTAGGCCCAATGCAGAGCCTCAGGAAGCACAGGATGGGTCACAGGGAAGCCACGTGTCAGTTGTCGGGGGGACCCTGGGTGGTGTGGGGCACCCACATTGCTCAGGTGCTGGGAAGGGAGCAGTCAAGCATCCCTGGTGCTGCAAGAGATGCTGAAGGGACATTTTCCTGCCTGGAATGTGCCCTTCCCAAGGACACCTGTGCTGCCCAGGCAAGGCTGGCTCAGGCACTATGTTCCCTCCTACCCACGCCCCAAGTCAGGCATGGAGTGACCAGAGCCCAGTTTATAGCTGGGAAAGTCCCTGCACTTCGCATCCCACCCACTCACACGCATGCTATCCACATCCCATTCCACCGGATACTCTAAATCCCTTTGTCATCAGCATGGCAATGTGTGACCTGGCTGCTAACATAGTGTCCCCCATGACTCCATGCCTCCCAGCCCCTCACCTGCGAGCAGAGCGTTGCCTCCTCATGGAAGTAGCCATGCATGAACTCACAGTATTCCCGCGTTGTGATCTCACAGCTGGGCAGAGGCAGGAGCGGGATCACTTGGAGCTGGGATTGTTCCCCATTCCCACAGCATCCCCCTCCACTCCCAGCAGCCACCGCACTTCCCACCCCACCAAGGATCCATAACCTCCTTCTTCCCCCAGCTCCAATGGGAGAACAAGAGGCAGCAGTGGTGGATGTCCCCATTGCTGTGACCCACCTGCCCTTCGTGCCGATGCAGCAGGGCCGGCCCTTGATCTGGCAGTCCATGTGGGTGAAGCCGGTGTGGTTGGTTTTGGTCTCGTAGGTGCAGATCTAGGAGCAGGAGCCATGGTTGGGGTCCAGCCCCAGGCTCTCCCCACAGCCCAAGGCCAGCTGTGCCTCCCATGGAGGTGCCACCACGGTGCCACCCAGCTCATGGTGCCACCAGGCTCTTACCGGCCACTTGGTGATGTCGTCTGGCCACACGTGGGGTGGGTTGGATGCTGGCTCCTCGCATGTCCTGGTGGGAGAAAAAGGGTGGGAATCAGGATCATCCCCCCAGCACATTCCTCCCCACAGACTAGTAACTCCCCTCATGCACAGACAGCTCTTGGGACCTGCCCCATCCCCTGGCCTGGGGGGGGATCCTGCACCTCAGTGTCCTATAACACCCCACAGCAGCACCTTCCATGGGTGAACCCCACGGCACACATCTGTCAGACAACCCCACTGATGCCGCCTTGTAGCATCCCCCATCCCAACAGAACAGGGCAAGCACGGACCAGCACAAAACAACATCATCTCTCACTGCTCCCTACGTTTAGGACAGACCCCACCTCACCTTCCCCACTTATTCCTTCCTTATCATTCCTCTATGGTGTATAAGACCTCCCAGCCCCTTGCACAAGAGGATTCAAGGTACCTAAGCTGCAAACGCAGCACCTCCATGGTGGCCCATGCACAGCTGGTGCCGTTTGTCACTCCTACCTGGGGTCCTGGTGACACACAGCCCCCGATGTCCTCTTCTCCCCTGAGCCCAAGGTTGGCACGTTGGTGCCTGGCCACTTGATGAACGTTGCCAGCGTCTCCTGCGGGAAGGATGGATGGAGAGACTGAGGATGCAGCAGCAAATGCCCTGCTCTTACCCCACAGTCATCCTGCCCTGCTGTGCAGGGTGGAGATGTCTTAGCCTTTTGCTGCAGGGATCCCCCGTGCTTCCCGGTTCACGCACCGAGCAGTCCTGTGGCAGGGTCTGGATGCAGCCCGAGTTGTCGTTCTGGACACAGCATCCCGAGTCCCGCTCCCGGTCCCGCTCGCGCTGGATGAGCCGCTCCACCTGCCGATCCTTGCGCCCCCGCCGCCCGCCCCCCCCCGGGGGAGATGGCCCCCCCCCCTGCCGATCCTTCCGGATGCAGGGTGAGAACTTGGCTCCCAGGTGAATCAGGTCAATCTAGGAGCAGATGCCAGTGCAGGGAATGTTCTGTGGGTCCCTCTATACTTCCCCTTCAGCCTCTAGCTGCCCCGGGAGGAGCTCAGTAGGGGCAGGGGGTCCCCACAGGCCATAGCTCTTGAGTTGCTATTTCCCTGGTGGGGGGGTGAAGGCAGGTGAGAAGGGGATGGGGTCT